CCACCTAATCTGAACTCGAGCGGTGTTTTGTTATTGGACTTCTGTGCAAGCCGCAGTTTGGCCATAACGAACACCATGTTCGAACATAAGGATGCCCACCGGTACACTTGGTACCAGGGCAGCCTAGGTCACAGGTCGATGATAGATTTTGTAGTCGTATCATCTGACCTGCGGCCTTATGTTTTGGACACCCGAGTGAAGAGAGGGGCGGAGCTGTCAACTGATCACCACCTGGTGGTGAGTTGGATCAGATGGCAAGGGAACATGCCGCGTAGACCTGGCAGACCCAAACGCATAGTGAGGGTCTGCTGGGAACGCCTGGCAGAAGAACCTGTCAAGACGGTCTTCAACTCCCACCTCCGGCAGAGCTTTGACCACGTCCCGAGAGCAGTGGGGGACATTGAGTCCGAGTGGGCCTTGTTCCACTCTGCGATTGTCGAGGCGGCTGTTGCTAGCTGTGGCCGTAAGGTGGCCGGTGCCAGTCGTGGTGGCAACCCCCGTACCCGCTGGTGGACACCAGAGGTTCGGGGAGCCGTCAGGCTGAAGAAGGAGGCCTACAGGGCGTGGCTGGTCTGTGGGTCTCCGGAGGCAGCAGACAGGTACCGGATAGCCAAGCGGGGTGCAGCAGTGGCAGTTGCCGAGGCAAAATCTCGGGCGTGGGAGGAGTTTGGTGAGGCCATGGAGAAAGACTATCGATCGGCTCCAAAGAGGTTCTGGCAAACTGTCCGGCGCCTCAGGAGAGGAAGGCAGCAACTCGCTCACACTGTTTACAGTGGGGATGGGGAGCTGCTGACGTCAACTGAGGCTATAGTCGGACGGTGGAAGGAATACTTTGAGGAGCTCCTCAATCCCACCAATGCGCATTCCGAGGAGGAACCAGAGCTGGGAGGCCTGGGGATGGACTGTCCGATCTCGGGGGCAGAAGTTGCTGAGGTAGTCAAACAACTACACAGCGGCGGAGCCCCGGGGGCGGATGAGGTTCGTCCTGGGTATCTCAAGGCTATGGATGTTGTAGGGCTGTCATGGTTGACACGTCTCTACAACATTGCGTGGTCATCGGGGGCAGTTCCTAGGGAGTGGCAGACCGGGGTGGTGGTCCCCATCTTTAAGAAGGGTGACCTGAGGGTGTGTTCCAACTATAGGGGGATCACACTCCTCAGCCTCCCTGGAAAGGTCTACTCCAAGGTACTGGAGAGGAGGGTCCGATCGATAGTTGAATCTCAGATAGAGGAGGAGCAATGTGGTTTTCGTCCTGGCCGTGGAACTGTGGACCAGCTCTATACCCTTGCAAGGGTGATGGAGGGGGCATGGGAGTTTGCCCAACCAATCCACATGTGTTTTGTGGATTTGGAGAAGGCTTATGACCGTGTCCCCAGGGGCACCCTGTGGGGGACGCTCCAGGAGTATGGGGTGGGTGGCTTTCTGTAAAGGGCCATTCAGTCCCTTTACCAGAGGAGCGTGAGTTTGGTCCGCATAGCCGGTAGTAAGTCGGACCTGTTCCCAGTGAGGGTTGGACTCCGCCAGGGCTGCCCTTTGTCACCGGTTCTGTTCATCACTTTTATGGACAGAATTTCTAGACGCAGCCGTGGTGTGGAGTGTGTCGAGTTTGGTGGCAGGAGAATCTCGTCTCTGCTTTTTGCGGATGATGTGGTCCTCCTAGCTTCATCCAGCTCTGACCTTCAGCTCTTGCTGGGTAGGTTCGCGGCCGAATGTGAAGCGGCTGGGATGAGGATCAGCACCTCCAAATCTGAGACCATGGTTCTCGACCGGAAAAGGGTGGCTTGCCACCTCCGGGTCGGGGGAGAGGTCCTACCTCAAGTGGAGGAGTTTAAGTATCTCGGGGTCTTGTTCACGAGTGAGGGTAGGAGGGATCGGGAGATCGACAGGCGGATTGGTTCGGCGTCTGCAGTGATGCGGACGCTGAGCCGATCTGTCGTGGGGAAGAGGGAGCTGAGCCAGAAAGCCAGGCTCTCGATTTACCGGTCGATCTACGTCCCAATCCTCACCTATGGTCATGAGCTTTGGGTAATGACCGAAAGAACGAGATCGCGGATACAAGCGGCCGAAATGAGTTTCCTCCGTAGGGTGGCCGGGCTCAGCCTTAGAGATAGGGTGAGGAGCTCGGACATTCGGGAGGGACTCGGAGTAGAACCGCTGCTCCTCCGGATCGAAAGGAGCCAGTTGAGGTGGTTTGGGCATCTGGTCAGGATGCCTCCTGGACGCCTCCCCGGGGAGGTGTTTCGGGCATGTCCTGCCGGCAGAAGGCCCCCGGGTCGACCCAGGACACGTTGGAGAGGGTACATCTCCAATCTGGTCCGGGAACGCCTTGGGGTCCTGCCGGAGGAGCTGGTGGACAAGGCCGGGGAGAGGACGGCCTGGAGCTCCCTAGTTGGGATGCTGCCCCCGCGACCCGGACCCGGATAAGCGGAGGAAGACGAGACGAGAGAGACGGCTGTTTAATGGCGCAAGTAGATAAATGTTAGACATAAAAATATGGATGCAAACTGCATTGTTGGTTCTTATTTTAAACACAGATAAGGTTTCTCTTTACCTTGCTGACAGTTTTGTTTGCGGCTGCAAACATCCTCAGAAGTGACGCTGATGGTGGCGTCAATTCCTACTTCATTTATCCGCGGGCCCTCTGCTGCCTGCTCTCCCAAATCTAAAAAATATGAATGCCAGTATTACACAAGACTATCTTCTGACACAATAAAAATGGTAATTAAGTCATTAAAGTTTTAAAATGGTGCAGACTTTGACTACAACAAACAATTATTTTTTCATTAAAAATGAAAACAGATATTTTTGTATGTGTTGTGTAGGGCTGAACAATTAATTGCATGGGTCCGAGCTAAAGTCAGAGTCGGGTGGATTTAGGACTGAAGAAGATCCGGGGCTTAACACACGCGCGCGAGCGCACACACGTGACACGCATTAGTCAACATCATATATATTTGTCTTGTGCCACATAATTTTCAATCTGAAGCTACATATTCAGCATATTCAGGGCAGAGTATTGTTCCTGTTAGTGTTTAGTGTGAGACGATAGTAAATATTCCCTTTCTTTCTCCATCGACTTTACCTGATAGTAAGCTAACTTTAGGCAAACCAGCAGCACAACAAATATTTTCAAATAAGACTCACAAACCTGAGTCAACACCAGTCTCATCAAAGCTGGGGTTCTGTTGCGGTACTTTTGGTCTAAAAAACGCCCTTATGTCCATCTTTACACATGTGTTTCAGGCAGAGACTGCAGAAGAAGCCGGCTGCTGAAGGGCTTCTTCAGTGGTGGAGGCTCAGGCAGGCTGTATACAAACTACTGCCAGCTGCTCCCTCTCTGTTGGACTTTGGTACTGCATGTTACTTCCGCGATTTAGATCCGGGGCTTTTCATAAAACATTCGGGGCTTGAGCCCAAGTAGCCGGGCCTAACGTCACCCCTGGCCAGAGTAGATGTGTACTCCACCACATCCAGACTGATAATGAATCACTCATGTGGGAAGCTACAGTTGGTTGATTCTACCCACCAATCAGAGGCTCCCTCTATAGGTAGGCGTGAACTTTAGCCAATCAGTCAGTAGAAAGAAAATAGTCAAATAACCGATTCATTGAGATGCGGACATAAACAATTCTCAGTAGCAGACACATCATCTGTAATAGTGGAATGCAGTTTTGTTTTTTTAAACGCAGCACCCGTGTCACATTAAAATTAGTCAGAGTGGGATGTGTCCTCCACATTTATGGTGCTTACACACTAGCATCAGCTCCACTCCGCCTGGACCGGGTTGGGAGTTTTTCTGAGCACAACCGGACATCTTTTCAGCCACCTTCTCAAAGAGGTCTGCCTGGAACCAAACAGGGCCGACACGCCCACTGCTGACTGGCTGGCTGGCTCAAAAGCACACCTGCCATTGGGGGAGCCTCTGATTGGCAGATGGAATCAGATCTTAAATACACCAATTGAGTCTAATGATTTATTATCAGTTATGTCACATATTATTATCAGTAAATTAACTAATTCATGTTTAACATATTTACTTCACATATTAGGTGAAATAAGCCTTTTCTAAGTGTCTGAGAAAAAGGGACGACTGAGGACTCTTTGTAAATGTCTCTTAAACGTTCTTAATTCTGGTTGGTCCAAAACTTATAAACAACAAACCCTTAAAAGAGAAAACACTTCCTCTGTTCGGCCGTTCAAGCTGTTCCAGGTTAAAGAACCATGCTTTTCAAGATCAGACTACCATTATTTGTTTTAACCTGCAAAACCCCATCAGGACCGCCAGCTGACCAGGGGCCATCTCTGACCAGCTGATGCAGATTCGGAGGAATATGGCCTGTGACATCCAGAACTGCTCGCTTGCCGATAAGCCTCAACACACACGGGAACCATAAACTCTGCATTGGCAGTGGATGGTTTATTATTAATGTTATATCTTGTTAAACCTCATTAAACATTCAGCCAGATCTATTTTATAAACCTAGACATCACATCTTTTCTAAGTCACTTAATTAGGCTCTTAATAACATCTAAGATCATGTTTCATCAGAGTTTATTCATTGCCTCAGTTTATATTACCTTAATAAACAATATTCTTGCCTCCGTGTATTTTGTTGAATACCTTCATATTTTATGGACAATTAAATGAAATTAAAGGTACGGGGTAACTGCTTACAAAACGTTACACTGCCTAATGAGAAAACTCCCAACCCGGTGCAGGGGGAGTGGAGATGGTGCTCGTGTGTAAGGGCCACTGGAGCCTAGTACCACTCTGCAGAGCCAGCGCTTCATGCTCGGCCTCAGTGCTGTCAGATCTGTTTATGCTTTCATTGCATAAACTTAAAGAACAAAATGTGCAGGTGCAGCTTAATACACCTCACCTACTGACATGCACTTTTGAAACAAGATCATCTTTAAGTGGTTCTAATGATGTCTGAACAGGGCTCATACCCAGCGCTTGACAAACACATTCTGTATTTACCAGACTTTCTCCTGCTAGCAGGTGTCCAGATGTTACTCCACATGTAAGAACATCAAACACGGATGACACTGGCAGCTCATGGCGTAAACTCCGACTCATCAGCACATCTCTCTAGACAGACAGACGCTTTTCTTTATGCTCACCAAAAAGACATAACTGTGTTTGGAGTTGCTTTTATTCAGATGTTCTGTGATTTCTGTTGATTAGTTTTTTTAATTGTTATTTTCCATGCATACTCTCACTTGACTGGCTGTCAGTGTGACTGACGTTGGAGCTCACATCCAACAAGTCCAAGCTGTGATCTCCCAGAGCAACACCATCCATCCATCACCTCGAGTGCCTCAGCCGACCCTGGTCACACACGCACGCACAGCAGGGTGAATGTGTCATTTATTGAACGACTCGTTAAGTTTGGTTTAGTGTACCTGAGACTGTTGGCTTGTTTCGCTCCCCGGTAGGAGGCGGGTCCGGTTACAACTGGGCGGGGTTAGTTCTGCTGTCCTGTCGGCTTCTGTCTGTCCTCGCGACTCGCTGACTGTCCAGCAGCCCGAAAGAGATCGTCGGAGGAACACAGAGAGCAACATAACGCCGAACTAGAGCGTTTGGATTTACCGTCACCGGGGCATCTGCTGCTGCTGGCGGAGCTGTAGCAGGACGGAGGACTGGACGAGTCCGCCCGCGTATCCTCCAGGGTCGGTGAGAACGGAACCAACCAACCCTCACACCGCAACCAGGTAGGGTACTATAGGAAGGTTAAGCGGACCCTGGATCATATCTAGACAGCTTACCTATGCTTCTGGTCCAGCACCACCAGTCTGGGTCCAGCACTTCTAGTCAAAGTCAGGTCCAGCATCAGGACCACTAGTCCAGGTCGGGTTTAGCATCAGGACCACTAGTCCTGTAAAAAAATGGAACTAAGTTCACTGTTCCAAAAACGAACTAGTTCATAATTCTTTTTTCATACCAGTAACATGAGGAAAAAGTGTTTGAATGGTTTTGATAAAAAAGGTGAATTATTCATCAACCAGAGGGTAGAACCAGGCTGAGATGGGAAACAAGGATGTACCTCAAACTGCAACACTCAGAGTGCAAAACATTAAATTATCTTCAAATTAAGGACATTCTCAAATTCTGTGAATTTTCTAACTTGTTTGCCCAAAGAAAAAGAAAAAGTTATAGAGCTCCCGTCATAAAGAGCAACAACCAGCCCAAATGATTTAGTAAAAAACAAATAAATAAATAAATAAACGAATAGTGAAGTATTACCGGTGCGACTGTGGCTGGTGTTTTCAGATTTGTGTTTCCCGGTTCATCCCAGTTAACTCCATACTCAGAAATGTCATCTTCTGGGTAGAAATCATGAACTGGAACACCCAAAGCCAGAGAATGTTGTTTAATTCAACTTTGAGTTTCAACATGGCAGCTCTTTGTAACAACAGCCGTAGCGGTGCTGGAAACGTCTTTATTTTACAGGATAAACTTGTAAGGATGCACCTGAAGTCCATGTTATGTACAGTGGTTTACTTTCTGAGCTAAAAGGAACACGCCATGACGTCCGTCCTTCACATTGCATAGAAATAGAAGAGTAGACGCCGCACCGACCGCCACTGCCTATGGTGGCCACATTTGCACATTCTACTTTTTATAAACTCTACTTATGTTTTAGCTAGCTTTAGCTCTGGAGATCTAGAGCTCCAACGTCAAAAGAACACGTTCATAAACCCGTTCGCCCACGCCAGAATGAACACACTCACTTTAACATTCATGAACGATCATTCGATGAATGAACGCATTCGGGCACAACACTGCAGTCGCGTCCAGCATCAGGACCACTAGTCCAGGTTGGGTTTAGCATCAGGACCACTAGTTTGAACTATGTCTCAGTAGTTCACTGACTCGGTGAGACCATGAACAGGTAGTGTTGGGTTCTAGACCGTGTGCAGACTAGCTGTGGGTTTTCCTGGCTGCTGAAATGTGCTGGAAACCAGAACCAGAGTAAAACATCACAGCTTCTGTATGTTAGAACGGGTAGATCACACATTCAATTCTACTGTGTCCAGTGTATGCTGGGACAGTTTCTGCTGGGACAGTGTCTGCTGGGACAGTTTCTGCTGGGACAGTGTCTGCTGGGACAGTTTCTGCTGGGACAGTGTCTGCTGGGACAGTGTATGCTGGGACAGTTTCTGCTGGGACAGTGTATGCTGGGACAGTTTCTGCTGGGACAGTGTCTGCTGGGACAGTTTCTGCTGGGACAGTGTCTGCTGGGACAGTTTCTGCTGGGACAGTTTCTGCTGGGACAGTTTCTGCTGGGACAGTGTCTGCTGGGACAGTTTCTGCTGGGACAGTTTCTGCTGGGACAGTGTCTGCTGGGACAGTGTCTGCTGGGACAGTTTCTGCTGGGACAGTTTCTGCTGGGACAGTGTATGCTGGGACAGTGTCTGCTGGGACAGTGTATGCTGGGACAGTTTCTGCTGGGACAGTGTCTGCTGGGACAGTTTCTGCTGGGACAGTTTCTGCTGGGACAGTGTATGCTGGGACAGTTTCTGCTGGGACAGTGTATGCTGGGACAGTGTCTGCTGGGACAGTTTCTGCTGGGACAGTGTATGCTGGGACAGTGTCTGCTGGGACAGTTTCTGCTGGGACAGTGTCTGCTGGGACAGTTTCTGCTGGGACAGTGTCTGCTGGGACAGTGTATGCTGGGACAGTGTATGCTGGGACAGTTTCTGCTGGGACAGTGTATGCTGGGACAGTTTCTGCTGGGACAGTGTATGCTGGGACAGTGTCTGCTGGGACAGTGTCTGCTGGGACAGTTTCTGCTGGGACAGTTTCTGCTGGGACAGTGTATGCTGGGACAGTTTCTGCTGGGACAGTGTATGCTGGGACAGTGTCTGCTGGGACAGTTTCTGCTGGGACAGTGTCTGCTGGGACAGTTTCTGCTGGGACAGTGTCTGCTGCAGTGTATGCTGGGACAGTGTATGCTGGGACAGTTTCTGCTGGGACAGTGTATGCTGGGACAGTTTCTGCTGGGACAGTTTCTGCTGGGACAGTGTCTGCTGGGACAGTGTCTGCTGGGACAGTGTATGCTGGGACAGTGTCTGCTGGGACAGTTTCTGCTGGGACAGTTTCTGCTGGGACAGTGTCTGCTGGGACAGTGTCTGCTGGGACAGTTTCTGCTGGGACAGTGTCTGCTGGGACAGTGTCTGCTGGGACAGTGTCTGGGATTCTGTTTTACGGCTCCTGAGGATCCACTCAGCTGCCCTTAAGTGGTCCTGATGACAATAGTGAAAACATTTAAATTGTTAATTGTTCCATCTGAATCAATTGTTTCCTATAAGAAATCCAGTGACTCTTTTTATGGCGCTTACACATTAGCGTCGGCACGGTCGGGGTTTGGTCGGGCTGGATGGCGTGAGTTGGTCTCGAACGGGCGGCGTAGTGTTCACATATAAACCCGAGGGACTTCTCAGGAATGCATAAATTCCCGAGCCTGTGGGCGGAGTTTAATACACGGTCCTCCATAATAAGGTAAGGTGAGCTGGGAGACTTTGAACCACAAAATATTATTCATTTGCTGTGAGTGTCCTCATAATCTTGTGCCACACACACACACACACACACACACACACACACACACACACACACACACACACACACACACACACACACACACACACACACACACACACACACACACACACACACACACACACACACAGAGAGAGAGAGAGCTCACTTTCTTCTCCTGTTCCCACTTAACGGCAGCTTCGTGCCACAGACAGAGAAGTTTACTAAACAGCATCCAGCATGAAGATGAATCGTCCATTCTGGACAACATCTGTCCTGTCAGAACCAGATCAGTTCCTGCAGTGAACCCTACTTGTTGCGAGCGTGCCCTTTAAGAGGTTCCATTAGATCCTCGAGTTACGCTGCTTTCTCAGGGAGGTTGAGGCCGCGGTGAGTATTATTGTATCAGACCCTGGGATGGACTTTCTCAATTAAAACGTGTTCCTATTTTAAAGGTTGGAATGGAATTGCCGTACTTGTTCTCCTGTATTAATTCACTCCCCTTTAAATCCTGTTATCCCGTGGTTTTGGATACTAAGGCGGAAGTTCAGAGTTGGCCAATCTTACTGACTATTATTTGGGTCCTATCAGGGTTAATTTGCGTCTCCGTCAGCAAAGTGGGCGGTGGTAACTAGAAAATGATTACTAGTTAGTTGATCAGGCTAACATAGATTTATCAATTAATCTAATTAATCCACCCTTTGAAATGGTTCCTTCCCACGCTTAACAGAGACTTTTTTGGTGCAAAAAGAGCCTGTTTGAACCAACGAACTATCATGGCTTATCACTCTTAGGCATGTCCCGATACTCAAGAGAGAGGGGGAGATGAAACTCCCATTAGCCTAAGGTATCTTTTATTAATCTGTCACACCCTGAAAAACAAGTCCTGTGAAGCAGGTACAAGCAATAAGGTGGCTTACCTCCACTCCTGTTAGGCCAGGGCCGGAGCTCCCACTCAAAGAGATTAAATTGTCCCTTAAAATCCAATGAATGAGAATCCTTTTTCAAAAAAGTTTATTCCAAAATTCAAAAGATATAAAAGGGTAAATCCAAGATTAAATATCCTCTTATGAGTATGCTGCGTCTAACTATCTAAGAGGAAAAAGCTACTGTAGACTCTCCGTCTCTCGTCTGCCGTGACCTCGCGCTGTGTGCGTACGTGCATGCATACATACGTGCGTGCTCGCGTTTCCTTCTACTTCTAACTTGTTCTTATATATGTTCTAAAAACTGCTAAGCAAAGCATTTTCCATTGTATAGCATTTTCATGTTACAAGCACTTTTTCAGAGTGACGTATATATGATTTAACTTTAAGACAACTAAACAATGTAATCTTTAGTCATCTGCGTCACAAGATAGTAAAACAAAGTAATCATTTATCATTTGTAGGACGGTTTCAGATCCTTCTAAAGCTCGAGCTGTCTTCAAAGGGGGCTTCACATCCTGTGGTGCTTTCTTCAGTTGGCTCCCTTCCTGTCTTCACCTGCCTCGATTTCACTCGCATCAGCAGGCTCCGCTGGGCTCCGCTTATCTTTGCTCTCCATGTGGCCCCTCCCGTTGTGTCCTCTTCCTTTGCCACTTCTGTCTGTGGCTCTGATCTTCGGGAGCATGCGACATACTCCCTAGTTTAATGACAGCCTTCGCAGCCTGAAGCGCCAATGCAGAAAAACTGAGCGTTTGTGGAAGAAAACCCATCTCCACGTCCATCTGCTGCACCTAAAGGATCTTCTGACATCCTTTAACTCTGCAGTCAGAGACGTGAGGGTTTCCTATTTCTCCAACCTGGTGTCCCAGAGCAAAGGGAACCCCAAGGTGCTGTTTAACACCATCAGCAGCATCGTCTCTCCTGCCTCTCCTACAGCCTCCGTCCACTCTGTTGCAGACTGTGAGAACTTTCTGTCTTTCTTTGTGGACAAAGTCAGTAAGGTCAGATCTAGAATCTCTCCTTCAGCCTTATCGCTGCCTCTCCCGACTCCAACCAGGCCCATCATCCTAGATAGCTTTGCTCCTGTTTCTTTGCCTGAGTTAACCAAACTAGTTAACTCTACAGGTGCTGGCCAGTAAATTAGAATATCATCAAAAGGTTGAAAATATTTCAGTAATTCCATTCAAAACGTGAAACTTGTACATTATATTCATGCAATGCACACAGACCAATGTATTTCCGAT